TTCCAAGGCTCCGTTGGAGTGGGAGTATACACATAGCTTCTCACTCCTGACGACTGATGGCAAACCATCGTTTCGTATTGGCACAAGAGCTTGAACATGAGAATTCGGAGAACACCATGTGCAGAAGAACAATCTATGCACCTTAATGCATGTATATGTATACTATATATATATATATGCACATGCATACCATAATGAAGTGAAGTCAAGTGCCTTCCACATAGAATCGCATTGTGTCTCGGGTCAAGAAGTGATTCCTGTCTAAAGACACCAAACAAAAACACCACCCACACCGGTGAAGCACAAGGACTCGTCATTGCTGTCTCCTGCTGTCGTTGTGTTCACTGTGGGGGGTGCGCAAGACGTCTGTGCCAGGCACACCGACACCATGAACTTGGTCATCTCCTGGGCAAGGCCGCAAATCGGTCCGTTCTCTCCGGTTCTTGTGTTTTTCACAAAAAATATCTGCATAGCTTTTGCACGACATTTCTTGGCTTCACCACAACAGCGGTGGAAAAGTCCCACCAAAAAAATATCCAAAGAGAGCTGCAGGACTAAGTCGGATCATTTTCAGATGTCATTCAAAACAAGGTAACGGATACGAGTGGGTCACCGTAGCAACAAAAAGGAACGAGACAATCCCGGTAGTAAAACTGAAACCCAGTAGAGTAGATTTGCAAGCGGCCCTCTTCATGATCAATACAAAGTGGGCGTGCCATAAGAAACACCTACAGCAAGCGAAGATAGATTAAGAAAGATACCTGCCGAACCGGACCACCAAATTTGTGGCAAGCTGCTCCGAAGATACTCTCAGGGTTGAAGGACATCGCGTTGGCACTCCCACTGGAAAACAGTGAGGATGCTTTGCTGGGATCCGTCAGCTCAGACATCCTCACAACATCCACACACAGGAACTTCTCGCTGGAGAAAAGGACCTGATTTCACGACCTATCAGGTGTTTCTACACGAATCTGTAGTATGCCTTGGGTAAAAAAGTCCGGCGTTGTTGACATCTCTAGCTTCAAAGTCTGTGGAAGTCCTGCCGCTGATCGTGCTGGAAGCTGTCGATGAGTCCTGGCTAAGAAATTCAACTTTGTTTACTGTAAATATGTGTGTTTTCTTTTTGCGGACAAGGTGATAAGGACACTGGTGTTGCTTTGGTTTTTTTGTAAGAATTATATGCATTTCTTTTGGTCCTTCTTTCATTGTCTTGAAAATCTTTCACCAGGATTGGATGCGGGGACCACCCCGCTCCTGCAAGTCTTCTAAAGCAAAATTGCTTTCGCAGGCAGCACAAGGCACTTTGCAACAGGCACATCTATACTCCTCCATCTGCGCCTCTGCAAACAAAACCGCATAACAGCTCATGTCTTATTGAAACAACACAGCTTCATCAAGACTAGTAGTTTCTTCCTGACCCACCCGGAAGACATTTTTTCAATCGTATAATGATGCTCGCAAACCCCGTACAATGATTGTACGCTGCTACTAGTAATTAGCTTCTTGTTACTAGTAATGCCAGGAGCTATTAGTAGCGATGCCCTTGTTACTAGTAGCTTCTTGCAAATAATGCCCACAAATGAAGATCATGTTGCTGCACATCAGTCGTATCCACGACCGTTGATCTTGATGAATGGCAATGACATCCGCATGATCATTCACACTTACAGGCTGTATCAAACCAACAAGTACAGTATCCAAGAAGCGGTTGTAAAAGGAATCGCAGCCAAGGCGTTTTCAGCCTTGCCAGGCCAACTGAGACTTGCTCCAGCTATATGGCCGCTGTCAACAACCCGATTCCCAGGTTACTTAGTCGGAATCTGACTCGAAACATGAATCTCTGCTTGCCTTTTTCACGAAACAACATGGGGCCCTGACTGCTGTGGAACAGATCAACTGCTTCGCGACCTCGTCCACAGTAGCTGAGACATTGAGCGTCCTTGACTGATTCCGGCAGGAAGCAACAAATGTTTGACGGATAAACTACTCCTTCAACCAGGAGACAAGCAGACAGAACTTCGCAAAGCTTAAATCTCGTGAAATGGTTGCTTTGCCTTGCATGCTCCGACAAGGCGTTTTGCCTTTCTCATGTGGATGTCTTACAACTTGACAACTTGCTGTGTCCTGAGGAGCTTTGTTGCTCCGTCCAGCGACCCAAGATCGCAGTAGTCACCCTTGAAATCACGCCTCAGCAAGTGCTCGAGACACCGCGGGAAATCCCACAAAGTTCACACGATGTTCTGGTTTCAACCGCGTTGCGGCAAGTACAGCTTTGCTGGCTCGCCGTCCTTGAGGCCTGAAAAGATGATCGCGGCAAAGCCGCCCCAATGCCTTGGGAAAAGGAGAATGCCACAAGTCCGAGGGTTGCATCGGCTTTGAGACATGCTAGGCAGCGTGCAAGATGAAGACAAAGAGACAGAAGAGGTCAGTACAGTGGCGGTCCTTGACAGGACCGCCGGAGACATCTTTCTTGGAGCCCTGGCCGAGCTTCCGCTACATGATTCACAAGTCAGGGTACAAGCACTGATTTGTAGCAAAATCTAATCTGGACTGATATGGATGATGATGACCTCTGCAGTAGCAAAAGCCCTACACAGCTATGGGAGTGACGATCAAAGCTTTGGACTCGAGGGTCAGTTGGGGATGGATGTAGAGGCACGAAACCCAAACTTGGATGGTCACTCACCAATGGTCCAGGGCGAAACGCCACAATGGCTCGTTGGCAGCTGGCCTTCAGCAGTTCCACGCCCTACGATATTTACTGTTGAACCAGCCTTTTCAAACTTCTGCTGCGACTTCTCTTCATCCTATCATGTGAAAATGGAAAGCGCGCAGGGTCACTGGGCAGCACACGACAAATCGGTCAAAGGAGTAAAAGGTGGAAAAAAGGAGAGCAGCTTTGAACGTTTACTATGTAGAGTCTTCGGTGGACCAGTGGACCACAAGTCCGCTTGGTCATTGGTCGCCACCTATCTTAGAGTCTGTGCCGAAGACACTTGACCATTCCAGTAATCACATCAAGTCCTTTTTCATTTGGAGGAGTTGCAAAACCTGTGTGCAGCACTGCAATTCATCGTCCTCCTTGCTGGCGCAACAGCAACATCCACCCATTGGCGCCAGTGTCCCACAAGACGATTTCGCCGAGTGGAGACGCCAAGGTGACCTCAAGGAGTGTCGAGGACCGCGTTTTGTCACGGTCGTAACAGTCTTTGAGAAAGACTTGAAGCAAAAGAATGCTCCAGAACCAAGTCAAGTTCCAGGCCAATCAGCAAGTCCAACACCCAACTCACAGCAAGTCCATGCAAGACCACGAGCTACAATAGGTCCAATGATGGTCCCGAGGACATACATCCCTCTTTACTGAGTGGGTGTGTGTAGTAGCTTCTTGTTACTAGATGTAATGCCAGGAGGTTCCAGTAGCTTCTTGCTACTAGTAGCGATGCACCTTGTTACTAGTAGTAACACCAGAAGCTACTGGAAGCTTCTTGCTACTAGTAGCGATGCACCTTGTTACTAGTAGCTTCTTGTTACTAGTAGTAATGCCAGGAGCTACTAGTAGCTTCTTGTAACTTCTTGCTACTAGTAGCGATGCACTTGCACCTTGTTACTACTAGCTTCTTGTTACCAGTAGCAATGCCCGGAGCTACTAGTAGCTTCTTGCTACTAGTAGCGATGCACCTTGTTACTAGTAGCTTCTTGTTACTAGTAGTAGTGCCCCGAGCTACTAGTAGCTTCTTGCTACTAGTAGCGATGCCCTTGTTACTAGTAGTTTCTTGTTACTAGTCATAATGCCAGGAGCTACTAGTAGCTTCTTGCTACTAGTAGCGATGCACCTTGTAAGTAGTCTGATGCACCTTGTTACTAGTAGCTTCTTGTTACTAGTAACTAGTAGTGATGCCAGGAGCTACTAGTAGCTTCGTGCTACTAGTAGCAATGCACCTTGTTACTAGTAGCTTCTTGTTACCAGTAGTAATGCCCGGAGCTACTACTAGCGTCTTGCTACTAACAGCGATGCACCTTGTAACTAGTAGCTTCTTGTTACCAGTAGTAATGCCAGGAGCTGAACCTTGTTATTAGTGGCTTTTTGTTACTAGAAGTAATGCCAGGAGCTACTAGTAGCTTCTTGCTTCTAGTAGCGAGGCACTTGCACCTTGTTACTAGTAGCTTCTTGCTACCAGTAGTAATGCCCGGAGCTACTAGTAGCTTCTTGCTACTAGTAGGGATGCACCTTGTTACTAGTAGCTTCTTGTTACTAGTAGTAATGCCAGGAGCTACTAGTAGCTTCTTGCTACTAGTAGCGATGCACTTGCACCTTGTTACTAGTAGCTTCTTGTTACCAATAGTAATGCCAGGAGCTTTTACTAGTTTCTTGCTACTAGTAGCGATGCACCTTGTTGCTAGTGGCTTCTTGCGACCCGTATTAATGCCAGGGGCTAGATGCACCTTGCTACTAGTAGCTTCTTGTCACTAGTAGTAATGCCAGGAGCTACTAGTAGCTTCTTGCTACCAGCGGTGATGCACCTTGTAAGTAGCTTCTTGTTGCTAGTAGTAGTGCCAGGAGCTACTAGTAGCTTCTTGCTACTATTAGCGATGCACCCTTTTTTATTAGTAGCTTCTTGTTTCTGAAACATCCAAGGGCAAGGAGGCCTCTGGAAGCTGAGGCTCCAGGCCACTACGAAGGGCACCCAAACGTGGGAGGGGCTGCACTTGAGCCGAGCAGAGCAACATGAGCAACCCTTTTGGCAGTTTCTCGCTTGTTTAAATCGTAGATTTGCAGGTGAATGTGACCACACAAATTGAGGAACAAGAAATCAAAGCCTAGATTGAATCAAGAAATCAAAGCTACTCAGCCCCATGTCCAGAATCGCTGCACAATATCGACGGTTTAAGTTAAAATGTTGTATCGGATGACGAGACCTGTTTAAAAGTCTATTCAAGGACCTTCTTGATTCAGCGATTCGACTAAACATCAGGTGGCCAGGATTTCACCAGGAACTCTCCTCCTTGAATGTTGCCAATCGCTTCCGAATGGCCTCAGAGTTGTCATCTGCCCTGGCCGCTCCAAGCAGACAATGTGTTTCATGGTCAAGGAGAAAGAAGACGCGTTTCTGGTTCTGCCTTGATGCTTGCATTTGGGCGGTGTCAAGGGTTCTATCTTTGGCAAATCCAGAACAGCTGTTGGGAGAAGCCATGGACATGAGGCACAAACCACGCCTGCCGCTGGTTTTCCCACGTTCTAGGATTCTAGCCTGGCGTGAGTTCGACATGGTTGTGCTTTGACAACTCAAGGTTTTTTGCAAAAGAAAGCGCTAGCAGCGTGGCATTTGCTGGGATGACTTGCAAATGATAAAAAGCTCTGTCTGTTGTATGCATACTTCAGCTCCAAGCAACTACCTAGACTATTTTGCAAACGTGTATCAATCCAACTGGCGAGTGTCTCTGTGTTTGTGCACACCTCCATGACTGCCTCAGAGCAATCGAAGAACAGGGCAAACTTCACATTCACCTTGCCTGCACGCAAAAATACAACATGCACTTGGCACTGATGGGTACTGGGCATGCCTGTGAGGCAAACTAGTAACAAGAAGCTAGTAGGTTGGAGGCCATCGCTACTAGGGTGGAGGCCATCGCTACTAGGAACAAGAAGCTATTTATAGACGTGGCCTCCCTGTAGGCCCGTTCCCCGCCTCCCAGGACCTCTTTCCAACCCTCCATGTTTTCAAAGCTGCGTGGAAAGCCATCAACCAGGAACTTCCCCTGGCGAACCCAAACGGCCCAACAGCCCGCAGTGCACAGGCGGGTTTGCCATGCCGGGATAGGCAGTTTTGCCAAACGTCCCGCTACGTGCTGGGGTTTCTTCTAAGTACCACAAGCAAGGCTCAAGAACCTCCCACATTCGAACTGCAAGGAAGGTGAAATTGCCATGCTTCTCCAACCGTGCCTGTGACCAACCACGCTTCTCCATGGCTTGCTTTAAGAGGTTCACGACAATCTCGACAGGAACCAGTTTGCCTTCCTGCAAGCATCTTGGTACTGTGTTGTTATCGCTTCGCTGACTAGCCAAGATGTAGCTCTCTTTTTCTTTGTTGTTTGCTCATCACTCACTCTCTCTCTCTCCCTCTCTCTCTCAGGAGGTTGCTGTTTCCCAACTGAAGCATTTGGAGAAAGAAACTGCGGTCCATTCCAGAGTTGCGAAACGGCCATAGGAATGAGTCAACCTTCAATGCAGGCCTTGATGAAACTCTCGATAAGCTGGCCATACTCAGAGCCTTGACGCTTGCGCTCCTGGCAGGAAACAAGTAGCAAGGCTACCATCAACGTATGTGTTTAGTAAAGCCATTGCCTGCTAACTCCTGGGAGCTTAAGAAACGCACCTATCAAAGATCGATCTTGAACTCGGGACTATCAGCAATTTTGAGGTGTTCAACTGGGACCTATGTCTAGAGTCTAGAGTCCAAACTTGACACCCCTAAGTAACCTCTATTTCTTCCACCTGACTCCTTATGGAGCTATTGTGGTAGCGCTTCGCCCAAGTACAGGTCCCCCAAGAGCAAAGGGTCGGTTCCGGGTTTCAAGCCGTTGCCAGTTGCCACCAGAACCCATTTGAGCTTTAAACTCATCATCAGGGTGCTGTTTGGAAATACAGAGTTCCGGAACATTGCGAGCAGAACGAATCACATCGTCAAAATCTCTGGGATTCAAAGTCTTCGGGGTACACATCTTCAACAAAAAGGTACCCAAATCGAGCTGCAGTTGTCCGAACTGTCCTCACGCAGAAGATCTCCAGCACTGAGGTGGTGGTAGCCAAAGGTCTGACAGAAACAAAGATCTGTCGAGAAGCAGGTTGACGCTCTCTTCCCATGGCAAGATCTCGTGTTCCTCATGAGAATGTCACCACGATAAGATTCTTGTGAATTAGTTCTCACGTCCAGAATAAGAATCTCTGCGCATCATAGCCCTAGCTTGCAATGTCAAGTGTTTGCGGCCTAGCTTCGCAGGTCATGCTGCTTCCAGTCGCACGTGTTTGAAAAAAGAGTTTCCAGTTCCACCCCTTCGGGTTGAAATCCGGTGGGGGGCCGTCTGCATAAAGAAAACCCCACAGTGCCCCAGTCACTGGCGGCTCAAAGACAAAACTGAGTACCATTGTTCCGTGGCTTTTTCTCCATCAGAGGATTTCAAGCTCTCACCCCACAAGCTAGATGCGCTTGGCCTGCGAGATGCGCTCACACTGCGTTCCTTTGCCTCGGGGTGAACGAACTCAAGGACGAAGTGACGGAGTGTGACGGGAAGTGACGAGAGGAACTGCTTTATTCAAAGAGAGGCCTCCCAGGACTGGGACTTGATGGACTTGTCGGACATGCCAATATAAGGTCGGTTAACTGAGGATGACTTGGTTCAAGCAGCGTGGCATGCAGTCTTATTTTACAACAGCCAGGCACAGGTCAATTCCAATACCTCAGAGATTCTCAAGGTTTCGAGGCTCCTTACCAGCACCAGGTCCTCCCAAGACGAAAACCACGGCTGGCCTGAACATCACTGCCCTTTCTTGAGAAGTGCAAGCAGCACAAGCAACATGGCCAATGGATGCCAATGGTGCTCCGGCTTAAGCACTGAGCAAATGCATGCAAATGAAACATAAGTGCTCAAGCTTTTTCTGGGTGGCAAACTTCACGATGGCAGGCGTCAACAAGCTAGTCTCGAAGTAGCAATGAATGCGATAAGCGACCTGGGACAATCATGAGCTGCCACAAAGCTGCCTAGCTGCCTAGCTTGTTCAAATTGATCAAAAATTGAAAGTATTCTCTTGCTGCTTTGACGACGATTCTAGACCGCCCTCTTCTGTCTGACTTCTCCCTTCCCTCATTCCCTCCCTCCCTCCCTCCCTCCTCCCTCCTCCCTCCCTCCATCATATCCCCCCCTCATTTGTTTCTCTCTCTCTCTCTCTCTCTCTTCTGCAGTATTTCTCTCCTTTACCGCTCATGTCCCCTTGCCTTGGTTCTCCCATGTCCCTTTTGATCTCACTTTTTGTCGCTTTCTGTCTGTGCGTTTCTTTCGGCTCAGAAGTGACCTTTGTTTCATGTGCTTCCCTGGAATGTTCGTAGATGTTCCTTTGGGCTTTCATCTCAGACCATGAATTGTGCGCGCTTCACGCTCGGACGCCCGCTCGATTTCATGCACCATTGCTCGGCTGCTCGGCACCCGGACGCAAAAGCGTACGAAGTCACCAGCTTCACTGGGCGTCACAGAGTCCTTCTGAAAGTTGGTTGCTTGGCGAAAGGCCTCCACCAGGCAGGGGAGCACCTCCGGGTCTTGGAACCTTGGCTGAAATGATGGAGTGCCGTTTCCTGCACCAATTGCGTACGTTAAACATAGTATCAAAGGCCCCAAAGGGAGAAACCTAGCAATGTACAAGTCAATCTTCGAGTACTCTAGAAAAGCCCTAAAGGTCATGTAAGTCATAAGACGTTAAAGACCAGGCTCAACCTCACTGCGCGCACACAATGTTGACTTTTTATTTGCGGATCCATGTGCACTTCCTTTAGAAGCCCATGGAAGCCGATCACCCGGCAAAGCCATTCCAAAGAAGGAGACAAGACGATGGTGGAGCTTTGGCTATCGCTTCTGTGGCTTTGCCCTACGTTGAAGCTTCGCTTCAACCGACATTCCAGTCACTAAGGCCGGAAAGAAAGCTATGGCTTGGCAAAGCAGGGACACGCAGGTGGTGTAAGAGAGACAGTGTCAGACTCAAAGTTTGTGTGCATGTCAAAGGATCGGATGACATGGTGATTGAAATAAGAAATATATACTATTTCTGGATAATCAAATACTAAAAAAGATATCGGTTCTACCAGCAAGGGAAATGCTTGGGTCACAGAACACAGAACTGTAGATGCTTTGATTGCTTACAATGGCTGTCGCTTCATTACTTTGAAAAAAGTGAGCTCATTGCTTTTCGCTCAAGGAATGGGACAGTCCGGGTAAGCCCGCAACGGCTGTCCGGCGGTGTTTTCTCAGAATGATGCGCAGGGCGTCGAAGTGGCCCAATCCCATGTCGAGTCTTCGTCCATGGCCTCAGTCTTTCTGCTTCGACAGCACGTCTCAGTCTTGTGATGGGACAGCACGTCGGTCATGACTCACTTGTGGCTTCTGCTCCAAGTGCGGCAGTGATTTGGGCAAAGTCGCAAGGTTGGTATATCACAAGCAGCTAAGACTGCACATCGATCAAAGCCCCCTCTCTTGGCCCCTCTGCCACGATGATAGGGCAGGTTGTGCAACTTTGCTTGCTTCTGGCAGCGGCTTCCAACAAGCGGCTCATTTGTCGCATTGACTACGAAGCTTGCCACAGATCAAACACATGCAGAACTCAGGAGTCAAAGTGAAAACCTTCCAGCAGACAAGGGGTCGTACTTGCACATTTGCGGAAAAGCCCAGTAACAAGAGTGTGCAAAGGAAAAACTCTTAAGGGATCCATTAGCAGGAAACTGTTGACACGGAGATTAACACCGAGATTCACACCATCGAAGGGTCCCCTCAATAGTTCAAGGTTCGTGCCCCTTCCGGTAGAATCTCTTGTTGCAAAACAAGGCGTCTGCTCATTGGCCTGCGACTTCTGCAGTAGCTCAGCATAGGAAGCCCTCAGCTTTGCAGCGACGACCAAAGACTCCCGACTGACTTCCAAAGAGAAGACAAAGAAACCAAAGCGATGCCGAGACCAGAATCCCGGAAAGGGCAATGCCATGCAACCAAACAAGACTAATACTACATTCATTGTCTCCAAGAAAAAGGCCGTTTTTGGGGTGGCTCCTTACATGGGTTTCTGCATCAACAACTCAAGGCACCGGACACCTGCAAATGAAGGGAGGTGGGCTCTGTGATGTGGGGACCTCGGTTTCCAACACTTTCAAGGCAGTCTTTAAGACCAAGTGAATCTTCATCAGATGTTATTTTAAGGTTGAAGGAAGTCCTCTTTTCACACAGCATCGGCTCATAATGGTTGAAAGAAGTTCTCACGTCACAGACTAGAAGTCACAACGTAAAGAGGCTGACAAGAAATGCCGTAGTGGTCGAAGAGCTTTCTAACCTGCCAGGAACATCATCTCTTCTTGGTGCAAGCCTTCAATCTTTGTTGTCATGAAACTCATGTTTGATATCGTTTCACCTGCTGCAAGCTCTTTGGTACAGCGGCTTTGTGCCAAGTTCCAGCTTCATTTCTCTTATTGGCTTGGGTCATACGGTGTTCAAACCCTGCCATACGTTCTTGTCACCCACAGGTACCTGAGGCTTCAATGGCGAGATTGGTCGTGGCTGCCGGCGCCTTGGGATGAAAAAGGCGAATGTTGAACGTCTGAGCGTTTGCTGGGAACCAAACAGAAGAGCTGTAGCAGCTAAAAAGGCTTCCACAAATTCTAGCTGAGCTCCCCGAGCGGATTCTTCTTGAGCACTCGAAGGCCCTGATCACAAACTAGGGCGCAGTTTGAACAAGCTGCTTTTTCCAAAGGGAAGGAGCCAAGGCACACGAAACCTGTGACCTTCCAAATCGTGCTTTTCATCGCTGGCGTGCTTGAGAAGTACAAAGGAGAACCTATTCAAGCCTAGCCCTCTTCCCTACATGATGCGACAAGACTCGACTATCATATGGGTCTGCAGGCCAGCTTTGGATGACTGGACGGCAGATCGTAAACGACCTATCTGTTTCTTGATGCTCTGTTTGGTCATTGCATCGAACTCGACTTGTGCAAACATCGAGCAAGGCAGCTAAGCAAAACCCGTTCTGCCTCAGAGCAGAAGAAGGTCCGATCGCTGTAGAGGTCTTCTTGTGTCACCTGCGAACGACCAGGTCGCTCACTGACCGATGTCATTAAGAAAGAGATCCGGTAGCTCTGCAATAAGCACATAGACATGATAGATGGGTTTGTTGTTTTGAGGGGAAATTAAACGTGTGCAGCTTGCACGAAGGTGCTGAGCATAAAGCCACATCCTTGAGCCATGAGTTCTTGAAGCGATAGCTCCTTGGCCAGCGGGAATGAAAAGACAAGAGAACACAAGAGAACCATGTGTCCATGTGTGTATATATAATTGTATATATTTGTATTGTATTGTCATTTAGACAGACAGATAGAGTCTTCCACCATATTCTCAGCTCTGGACAAGTCACCATCTTCCAAGCAACACTCTTGTTGACTGAAAGTGTCAGCTAAGCCAGCAGCTCTTTCTTCAGGTTGTCTTGGAAGTATTGCATGCCCTTCTCTGTCTGCAGAACCTGTCAACCGAGCGTGCTGAATTAAAGCAAATTAGCCCAGCTGGAGACCCCAATAGCAAGATACAAACCGGGACAAAAAGAAAAATCTGGAAACAGCTGCTGTTTTCAACACATCGACCATCTCTTCCTTGGAGACCATCATCACATAACCGGGACACCATCACAAAATGACCAGGGCACCATCAAAACATGACCGAGACACCGTCACAACATGACTGGGACACCATCAAAACATGACCGGGACACCATCACAACATGACCGGGACACCATCACATGACCGGGACACCATCAAAATGTGATGACCGGCTCACATCAAAACATGACCGGGACACCATCACAACATGACCGGGACACCATCACAACATGACCGGGACACCATCACAACATGACTGGGTCACAATCAAAACATGATCGGGACACCGTCAAAACAGGACCGGTCAAAACAGGACCGGGACACCATCACAACATGATTGGGTCACAATCAAAACATGATCGGGACACCATCAAAACATGACCGGGACACCGTCACAACACGACCGGGACACCATCACATGACTGGGACACAATCAAAACATGATCGGGACACCATCAAAACATG